AAGTTGTAAAATAATTCCAAACTCCGAAACGTTTCGACCCCCAGCTTGCAAATACTCTGCATTTTTATTTTCTTTTGCAGACAATCTGTCTTTTTGTTTCATTTTCATAGACGTCCGTAATTCATTTTAAAAAGTTTAATTCGATGTGCAAATAAAAATATACTTAAAAAAATTCACAACTGCAACCAAATGTAACAAACCAAATCAAAACACGAATAGGATATACACCTAATAAATCTATACTAATATTATAAACATAACTCAAAAACTACTGAGCAGATTCTAAATATTCTTTCACCATTAGAAAGGTAATTTATCTGTGACTAACATAGGCTATTTTATTATTTTTTTTAATTTTACGCGAGCAACAGCTAGTACGTAAAAAAACATTTCACTTCGACCAGTAATTATTTGTATTAATATAAAACCTCGGAACGAAAATATCAAGCCTTGTAAAACGTAAGAATCAGTTCACACTTCGATAGCACGACAACAAACCGACTGCCTGCAAGCGTAACATACGACGGATAACGTTAACAGTTTACGTTTGCGTTTGTTGGGCAAACGCGGTGATTTGCGTTAAGTGCTAAATCATTTGCTTGTGTTTTATGTCAAACAAATGGCTTCATTGGCTGTTCATGACATGCACGTGCAAACGCACTTCGTCATAGAGTAATATCGTACTTATGAGTCGGAAAATGTTCTACAAATGTAACGCAGTAATCAAATTAAAATTCAGCTCTGTTACGTAATGCACGTTAAGGTTTTTAATTAAAACTTTTATAGGTATTAAGCCACTTTATTTAGGTTATGCCGTGTATTTAAATTTTAGTATGTATTAAAATATGTTTTTAACGTTTTCATTACTTTTTTTACAATTCCTGAAACATGTATGTTATGTATGAAGCTTTAATCTTATTGAAGCCATTCAAAGCCATACATTAAATGTTAGTTTTAAAGTAGATTGTCAAATATGTTATACAGATGGCTTGTTTTAATCATTCTCCATGTGCTCTGAGAATGCAATAGAACATTGGAGAAAAATAACTAAAGATATATATTGTTTCGCTGCATTTGTACTCATTATATTACACGCCCGAAGGGGTACTTATTGTTGTTACTTTATATAGATGTTTGTATAATTTAATTGCAATAAATAAACAAATAAATAAATAAGGAACTACGAGAAAAATAACTAACCTAACTCGTACAAGCATACTGAAAAATTTGCAGTATATTTAAACACGAAAGTAATGATGATATTGTACAAATAATTAATTTCTATACAAAACAAAACGTGAAATCCCATATTAAAAGCTTCGATATATCAAAATATATTTTTTTTGTCTTATACGGAAATGAGAATTATTATGTAACAGATCAAACACGAGAACACTTGACATCTCAAC